CACATCTCAGGCCTAACTCAGCCTGTGCCTGTAATCGACCCCTTCGCATTCAACCCTCTTAGTGTCCCATCAGCCTCTGGCCCTCTGCTCCCACCCCCAGTCTGGCGGACCGCTCTCCCTCAGAGCACTGCCCCGAGACGTGGGTCAGAAGACGGGGACAGCTGGCAGACCTCCCAGAAGCCATCTTATGTGAGCGGAGGGGTGGGGGTGACCTGCTCGGTCAGCCGGTGGTCCTGTTCCCAGGTAACACATCTGGTGCGCTCCGAGCCAAAGAGTCAGAGAGCCAGAGATACAATCAATTACACAAGGATGTGTGTGCTACTAGAGGACAGGCAATGTGACAATATATTATTGCTATATGAGTATTTCAAACTACATCACAAATTGCTTTTCTAAGCATATATTTTTCCTATACACTATTTTATTTATACTTTTTTATACTGTTTTATTTATAAATGAAGAGTTTTATTTCAAAACGCTGTACATTTATTTGTAACAATTTGGAATATTATAAGTTTTTGAAAAGGATAACAGCTGACGTATAAGAGAAAATCTCTCAAATAAAGGCGGTATTAATCACAACATAGGACTTATAATTCTTGTGTGTGTAAAGTCAATGCCAGGCAATGTATATTATGAAAAAATGTGAAAGGTGCTATATAAATAAATACATTTACAATAGTTATTGTGGGCATTGTCACGATCAATTATATTGAGGCTTTTAAAAACCTCTGTGTGGTAACTGTATAAATTACATAGTAACAAGTAGTAGCTATTATGCTTTCAGCTCATTTTGCTATTATCTTAATTCATTGATTCAAATACTCCAAATACTCTTTTTTCAGATCTGGCAAGACCCAATCTAAATATCATGAAACATGTCATGTAACAGGAAAATGTCTTCAAGTATCATGATGCAGTTTTGTTATATCGTCCGTCTTTGCATGATACCAATCACATTCACATTCTTTCCTCAACTGTTTATTTCAAGCCAAATTTCACACTGCATTGCACACTGCGTTACCTTTCATGAGAAGAACAAATATGCTGTAACAAATGAAAACCTTAGTATGCAATACTTATCTGGAAGACATCCTGCCATTATCTTGTTAGGATTGGCCAGCAACCCTTCACTCCAAACTAAGACCTGAATCAACACTACCACAACACACAACACGACGGACTGCAGTGCTCAACCTATTAAACAGCTTTTGCTATCAAATGTGCAGCACCTTTTTCTGCAATATGCTGTGAGAAATGCTGGAGGCAAGAAAAAGCTGTAAATCACAAAAGCAGTTTCCTCTGCGAGCAAAATTTAACTCTTGGCCCCAAGACAAGACAAGCAACTTTCCTGACACACTTGCTCTTGCAAGGCTGGCGAACCTTGGCTTGCACTCTAATCTGCCAAAGACAGTGACTGAGTGATTTATTACTTTATCAGACAAGAGCCGTTGAAAAATGGCCTGCATATTTTGCCCTCAGGGAGATGCTTGTGTGTACACTTGCTGAGAAGCCAGGAAAGTGGGGTGGTTGGCTGGGAGGGCTTACTCAGGCAAACTAATTTGTTTATATTGTATAAGAACCAAGCTTTTCAGTCATCAACTTCGTAACTGGACTGAAGGAAAGTGAAAGAGAGGCCGAGCGAAAAAATAAATCACAATCTCATTATCAGATATGTGAAAACGCAGTTCCCATTTCTGCTGAAACTGAAGATTTGAGAGGAACTGTGGTAAAAAGGATTAGGATGTTAATGAGGGTACCGGGGTTGGTGCCAAATAGTACGCTCAACAAAAGAATATGCATCATTACACTGTGATACAGATGCTTAACCTTTACACATCCACTTTATGTTTCACACTGCAGTTTTACTGAAGTACTGCGATGAGGACCACAGGAAGATGGTTACATTAGGATTACAGAATGAGCTTTAGCTTTGTGTTTGTTTCTAAACTGTTGAATAAGGCCCCCCCAGGCAGATTCTGAGGCAACATAATAGCTCAGGAATCGACAGAGAAAGAGGCCGGGTGGGCTAGATTGTGTGAATCCACATCCTCGGCAGGTTTATGCTTCAAAAGAACAAATCGATGATCTGCTATCAGGCGAAAACAATGAAATCAGTGCTCAAAACCCCACAGAAGAAAGGCCAAAACCCCTTGGTTTATCAGAAATTAATTCATTTAATACTTCATCACATGCCAGCTCAACAGTAGAATAGGAAGTATAATTTGATTCAAAGACAGGTATAGCTTTAGGACAGTAGACCAACATCAAAGAGAGGGGTTCTGATCAAAGAGAGGGGTTTAAATAAAGTTCACCTCGCTGTGGTTGGGTTTTTACTGTAGTTTTTCTCCTTCCTTCGCAGAAAGGAAGCAACTGTGCTGCTCCCTTTTAAGTGGACAAATTTGGACAAAATAATAGACAGCTGCATTTATTTATAAAAAGGTTTACGAACTGAAAAAATGTAAAGATTTGATTTATCTTTCTCTCCAGCCAATGTATTGAGTATAAACTGTACGACTATGTGATTTTCTTCACAGTTTTATCTTCGCTGGCCATTTACTAATTGCGAAAGAAGTGGGAGTTCAGAAGCACTCAAAAGAAAAGTAACAGTTATAACTTTCTGGCAATGTGGCACGGAGATAACTCGAAACAACGGCTTTCGCAACATATCAAATTCGCTTGACCAATTCTCGCTAGACTTCCAGTACACCTCACTGGGCACCGGCTAAATATTTTGCTCATTACTACTAAGGTTATCTTCCATCTGGGGGCTGGAAGCAGAGGATCGGTTGACTATTCAAAGCAAAGCTTGGAGTTCAAGGCCTTCAGCCTCACCCCGAAAGCGAGGGGTTAAAGCGGGCCGCCCAATAATGAAACGGACGCCGATAAAGTCAGGAAGAGCCGTGCTTCCTATGAAAATATTTATCATTCCAGGAACCTTTGGCTACAGAGGACTTTAGGAATTAATTTGTGTTTTCATAAGAGGGGGGCGCTGGGGCCGCTCAGGATGAAGCATTCTCCACACTCGCTGATTCCCCATCCAGAACTTGTGCAGCTTATTCACAATTTATTAGGGCCAGTAATAAGAACCATGAAGGGAAGAAGGTTTGGAGAGGAGGCCTGAAACGCGGCGAAATGAGAGAAACACCCAAGCACACATGGCCACTGGAGGAGCAGGTCCTTCCTCCATTTTCCCAAAGCTATAAATGTGTGATAAAAATCAAAACGGTGATGGAGGGTTTGAGTTTCGCGCCATGTTTTGTAGCATGAAATTTTACAAAGTGGCATTCAAGATGTATAACACTGGCGCAAATATATAACAAAAATAGGTCCTTATTTTATTTAAATGCAGTTTTATTTTTTTAAATGCCAGAAATGGAACATTATTTGCCTTAATATGTTAGTTTTCAGATTATTATACCACACTCACGTCGTTATTGTTCCTAAAAAATAAACAATTATGTCATTGATGAAACACGTCCTACTTGGAATGACGTTTTCATGCGTGATAGGCTTGTGAAGCTGGAGCAGTGAAAGCAGCCATATAATCAAGAACGAAAGCAGGAAACCTAGAAGAACTTTTCTGTTTTATGTCTCCTAAGAAAAAAGGAAAAAAGGCCGGCCTTTGTTTTATTGTTTCTGAAGCTTTCTGTTCAGTTGAGACTGTTTAAATGTGGTGTTCTGGAAATGGATTGAGGAGGGAGAGCTCTGCGTAATTGTGCAGAAGTGATTTGAGTGCCGGCCAGAGGAGGGTGAAATGCATTTAAATGGGGGGGTTGTGAGAAGACCTTGAGGAGTATGAATGGTCCTCTTTGAAAAATGCTTAGCAAGGCACCCTAAAATTACCTTATTAGCTTCCTGGCTTCAAACATCGCCTCAGTGATTTTGGTGTAATCTTCTGCCTGAATTTAAGCTCAAGAAAAACTACTTCCAACAGTATAAACACTGAACTTTGCAAAGGAATGAATGACGGTAAGAAACATGTATCGACACATATTCACATATTAGTTTGATTTTAGAGAGAAGCTTAGAAAAAAAATAATAAAAATGTAAAAATAAAAATATCTCACACCCCTTTGTTTTGGTAGATTTTAGAAAAATTATGTTTCACATATATTCTGGAAATATTAAAGAATGTGAATGTACTCAAACTGAAATTTTAAATATTGTTTTTCTAGGAATAACAAATACCAAATGAAGAAGAGACACTAATATAGCTCAACAGAAAATACAGCTATTAATAATGAAGTAATTTGAAACTGGTTGGTTAGAAATGGCTTTATTATAATAAAACTCAGTCCATCTATAACTAAATGCTCTTGAAATTATTATATATTTTTTTAAATAAGATAAACACCACAGGTTAGATTTTCTGGAACATTTTCAACATTTTTTTTTAATTTATTTCCATATTTCAACATGGATTCCTCCCTTACATTTCAACAAAACCAGATCTTATCAGTTTTTAAATAAGACATTGCATCAGATAATCCTGATTAGCGAATCTTAAATCCTTAATCCTCAATTTAATTTCACTGAGGCGTCAATCACGTAAAATAAGCCGGATAAATGTATTTTTTAACCCTTTAGACAAACTCAAGATAACGAACTAGACTAAAAAGATATATTAAAGGCGAAAGTTAGTTAGACCTAAAGCTGTTTTGCCCCAGTTAAAATAAAACGAATAAACGAAATTAAGAATGAAGCTGATAAAGTCGTAAAAGGCTAGCTAAGTTTGGACGAGTTGTAGCGTCAATTCTCATCACTAAAACGGTGAAAATATTGTTTGCTACATAAAATTTAAACGTAATTAATGTGAAATGTCCTGTAATAATCAGCGGTTTGAGTTTGACTCAGCTCCACTAACGTGAACGTTACTCCTGACACACTGACAGCAAAGTTTACGTTTATACATCCAGCAGGAATTAGCCTAGCAACTCACTATCGCCCTTTCAACAAACAAGAGGACAACACGAATGGACAAGACCGACAGGACTCACCATATTTGCCGTGAAATGTGGGTAGAAACCGCTCTTCAAAATAGTCTCTCCATTCCAGCTGCAAGTTGGTCAGTTCTGAAATAAAACCTCCGCTCGCTGACAGGACAGTGGGCGACCGTCAGTGCTGAGGAGACTCGCGGGGCTGCCGAACCATAGCTAATGTGAACGTTAACGCTGCGCTACCAAAACAAAGCTGAGCGCGAAGGAGGCGAGTGTGTGGTCAGGCTGATTAGAGGGATGAGTGAGGTCTGTCCGTCCCTCCTCCCAGCGTGAGCGTGTGTGTATGTGTGTGTGCGCCTCTGAGAGCTGTTGAGCAGAAACGCTGAATAAATGAACGAGCCTGTCGGTGGTCCCTCCTCCTTCTCCTCCTCACTGCGAGAGCCTGAGAGCACAATGCGAGCGCCTGCTCTCTCCCTCTCTCTCTCTCTCCGGAGGCGGAGTGTGCAGTGAGGGCTCAGGTCTGCGTGTTTGTAAGCTTTGTCTAAGAGTCAGCGTGGCGCTAAGTTAAGCTTAGCTCCCAAACAAAGGCTATTTCATGCATGTTAAGTAGCCGTGTTTGTGTTTGTGTTTCTAGCTAATGAGTTTAGCTACTGAGTGATAGCTCGGCCGCTGTTCTTTTTATGCAAATTGATTTGTCTAATTTGCATAGAAGCCCGTTTCAACAGCGGGGGCAAAACGTATAGCCATTTATTTATAATGTTAATAATGTCATAAAAATCAAAAGTCATAATAATGAGAAAGTTTTCCCTGTTTGTGACTTAGTATCTCAAAATTGTGACACAGCATATGATTATTATGACTTGCTATCTTATGATAATGAACTTTTATCTCATAATTATGACTTGCCATCTCATAATAATGAGCTTCTAACTTATCTCATAATTATGACTAGATATCCCATAATAATTGCTTATTATCTCATAATAATTAGAACATTTTCTCATAGTAAGTCATACTTATGAAACAGTAAGTCATAATCATGAGAAGGTACGTCATATTATAAGATGCAAAGTCATAATTATGAGAAGGTACTTTATAAATATGACTAAGTAAGTCATAATTGTGAGATGCTGTCATAATTATGAGAAAAGTGGTAATTATGAGATTTTAAGTCACATAGAAGATAAATCATAATTATGATATTCTAAGTCATGATTATGAGAAGGTAAGTCATAATTATGAGATGCTAAGTCATAATTATGAGAAGGTAAATCATAATTGTGAGATGCTAAGTCATAATAATGATGTCACAGAAGAACCATTTTTGGTTCCCTATAGAACGTTTCAGATTATCTGTGAGCATGAAGAACTTTGTTAAAGTTTAAAGAACCTCTACATTAGAAGTGGGCAATATGGCAAAATATAATATAACAGTACTTCAAGAACTTTCCATGGTACCCTGTATGTACATCTCTGTCATGAATGGAGCAAAAAGAAGTTTTAGCCCAAAACTTTATTCTAAAACTATTGTAATACAATGGCTCAGGCATTAGGCAGAGTATTCATAACTATTTTATGTAATAATTGTATACGAGGGAGCTTTTAGAGGCGTTAAACTCTTCAGACGTCTGGTTCCTATCACCACCACTGTGAACAATTCTGATTTGATAAGTTTCTTTAGAACAGAACATTTCACGTCAAATCACTTCAACATTCAATTGTACAGAAGTCTGGAAAGCAAAAGGATGATTTATGTGTCATGGTTGTGTTTTAATTACTCTCTTAGGCAGCAGTTCAAGATGCTGATGCTCCCAGACATCATTATTAAAATCACGCTGCCAGTTCACCAAATCACTCATCAATATTTTATTCAGTGTGTTGAGATGTTTTTACATTGTGACTACAATAGGCCCTATGCACAGCATGGATGCGTCGGCAATGGTGTATTATTTTCATAACCGCAATTAAACTGTCGTATGTTCAAATTTTCCTATTCTGCAAGTCTGTGCTTTCTTAACCCAATTTGCCAAAGGCAGATAGTAAGGCTGGATAAGTAGGGAGTGGGTGGATTATGTCATGTAGATGGTGTGGATTCTTCACTTCCCCCAAAGCACAGCTCCGCAGGCTGACCGTGAGAAAGTTAGGCTATCTAATGAGGGCAATACCACAGTACTGTAATAGTCAGTGTGTATAGGTTAACTGAGAGAAGAGCCAAATTTTTTAAAAGGCAAACAAACAAATAAACCAAAGATGGGACCAAACGTCACTGACAAATTACAAACTACACATGATACGTAATAGCCTGAGTGGTACATTTATTGAAGAGATACACATTAACTAATTATTTTCTATAGCTCATATACCTCTTCATCATCACTATACTACTTTGGAATCATATCATCAATGACTAGATTTAACCGTCATTTCAAATGGATATTTACTGATGTATTTATTGTGCTTTTGAAGAGCAGAATACTTAGGTGATGCTCGGCCTCTGTGCTAAAATGTGAGCATTTCATTCATTTTACTGCATTTGTAACCCTACAGAAATTATATTTCTCTCTAATGCTAATTCAAAGGAAATTTAGTCTTAATTTTGCATTTTATGAATGTTTATAAATGTTTATCAGAACTGGCTGCTATATACATGAAATATTGGACATCAGCCCATATCAGTACATCCCCAGTAAATAGTATGAACATTATTTAAAGACGCCATATCCAACATTTTTTCCTATATTTAATTTTTCCCTTAATGTTTGTGCTATTTTAAGTACCAAAAATGGTCATAATTATTTTTTACATGACCATTAATGGCCATCCTTTAGAATAAAACAGGCTGTTTTTTATTGCTGTGCCTTTAAGACTGATATATGTAAAAGAGCTCTGTTCTGATCGGCTGCCTTGTATTGTACCTCATTCCAAAAGCAGTCAGAGCTGAAACACTCCTTTTAACTTCAGTGGGAATGGGTGGGGGCTGAAGTACTGTAGGCTGGATAAGTAGGAATATGTAAATGAGTTGTTTTTGTGACATCACAGACATAAGGAATTCCAAATAGGCAGTTTTTCCAGCCTAGTTTCCTTTGCTTCCTTCTGAAACTTTAACAATGTTACATAGCGGAAAAAACTATACATATTGTGACATATTGTGTATCATGGAAATTTCTTGAAGTATCATTATATTGTATTTAGCAATATCGCCCATTTGAGGTTCTTTAAACTCTAACAATGTTCTTTACGCTCACACATCATTTGAAATGTTCTTTTGGGAACCAACAATCATTCTTCTATGGCATCACTGAAATGGTGGGCATATGTAAATTCATGGTTCTTGTGACGTCACACATTTAAAATGAGTTATTTTGTCCATATATGGACCAAGAAGTAATTGGTACCTTTTAAAACTAACTGCGTTGTCATATTACTTCAAACTCATTTATTTCAAAAAAGGGAGGGGAATTCAGTTTTACATCATATGGGCCCTTTAACTGATTAATTTCAAGTAGGTTACTATTATATACTTGCAAACAGAAATAGAATCCAATCCTTAATCCAAAGGAAGGAAGATTAACATGGTAATAGATGTGAATACAGTAATAGATGGAACTATTTTTATGTTTCTTTCTTGATGTTTTCCATCACATATTAAATTTCATAATTTTTTTGGAAACTAATGAAGTGGGACTTGCACTCATCACACGAACACGTCAATAACAAACTGCATGTTCCCTTTCCCTTCCCATAAAATATGAATGTCAAATGAAGTTCATGAATGACACGAGGAAGAACACTGTAACCCTACCTGTGCCTGCAGTTAAGCAACACGACCCAGACATGAATTTGTCTGCTTGTGATTCATTTTGCAAAGAGGATGGGCAAGCTCCAGTTCTACGGAAGAATTTGCGGCCGAGGAAAATAAAAGCAGCCATTGTCTTTGTCTTCCTCGTGCACCAGCCTCTCACACTGAAACCACAGACACAGTCTGAATCGACTCCCTGAAAATTCCATCCTGGGTCATGCAAATCTTTAGCCAAGAGCAAGCGTTCAAACATCATGTAAAATATCTCTGTAAATAAACAATCAAGGCCTAAAATATGGTCATAATTCTATAATATGTGCACCAGGTATGCAATCAAAAAGGTTACTTTAGTGATAGGAATTTTAACTGTTATTGAGAATATGTTTTTGGTTGTAGCTTCCCTGTTGCTGATTGACTGAGCTACACTAGTTATAATGCGCTTTACTAAGACAGCTGTGTAGTGTGAATATGTGTTGTAGAAAAGTTACAGTAATCCTGGCAGGATATTTATCCTCTGAGCTAAAGAAAGCTGTACATCGTGTCTGTGCTGCTGACCTCGGCTCTGCTGATGTCTCACTCTACTCTCCTCTCCTCAGCTCCTTCCCTCTGTGGTCTTATAAATTCATCAGAGTACTTTAGCGTATGTTATGATCTGCACACACAATTTAGCGGGGAATTCCAGTGATTTTTCTACACTGCTGCTCAGATAAATTATTAGGGTCTTAACAAAGTCATTCAGAGTGGTGATGTGAAATGTATAGTTCTAGAGAAACTTACCGAATCTGAGTTGTTCACAGTGGTGGTGATAGGAACCAGACATTTGAAGCATTTAATGCTTCTAAAATCCCACTCACAAAAAGTTATCATATGGAATGATTATGAATATACTGCCTAGTGCCTTTGACATTAGACAATGTCACTTGCTTAAACTAAACTATATTTCACAAAATCCATTCATGGTGGAGAGGTACATGTAGGCTATTGTGAGGCAAATATTACCTAAATGAAACATATTTTTTCCAGATTTACCATTATTCTCCCATCATATAAAACTCTCAGAACACATATGTAGGTTCACTGGTCATTTTGCATAATAAATAAATAAAATTTAACTTGTGTTTCATAGCAAATACATTTGTATTTGTGTTGTAGACATACATTGCGACTCCAAATTGTGAAGTCCAAGTCAATAAGTTTCTCTACAGTGCATCATTTGACATCTAATTGCTCTGAATGGCTTTGTTTACATCTTAGTGACCGATAAAACCTTTCACATTTGTTTATATTTGGCACATGGCTTTTACTGGTCACTAGCATTTAGGCCCAATATTTGCAAAACATTTTGATGATGTGCACATGAACAATGTTTATATTGATCACTAAGCATTGTTTAATAAATTGATAGTGGTTAATTAATCACTAAATCTTCAACTGATATGGATTTGTTACTAGTACAGTTAGATCCCAACTCTGTGACTGAGCGGAGGCTAATAAAGTACAATTCAGAGCAACAGTGAAGCAGGGCAGTACCAATAAACACTCTGAAACCCCTCACAGCAGGCCATTCTTCTGCAGTAATAAACTCCCCCTAGCTCTCTCTCCTTCTCTCCGGTGATTTAGTCAGTAGTTCGGTGGGCAGTCCTTCCCCTTTAACCCATCACACG